TAAATCATTTAAAAATTTGGTTTTATTTATTATGCCATGTCTTCACTTATGAAAATTTTAATTTAATTTAATTAATAAAAATTTAATTTATTTTTTAATATAACCAATGAAAATATGTGATGAAAAATACAACTCTATTTAATCTATTTGTAATTAAAAATTTAATTAATAAATATCATTAATTTTTTCTAAATTTACTAATCACTTATAATTTAACAAATAACCAAAATGTGATTTAAATTTTTACTTTTTTAGAAACCGTAATTCACTTCTACAATTTCTAAGAAATTTTTTTTTGTTTAATGGGTGAATAGAAAACGGAGAAGTAAAATCTAATTTCCAGTTAAATAGAAACCGAATAATGAAGTCTGGTTTTCTATTGAAATTGGATAATTAAATTCTGTATTTACTTCTTTTTAAATATTTTTGCTAACATGCTCCTTAAGCTAATTTAGATTTAAATTAAAATAAGCTCCTTTTTATAAAATTGCCTTCAAAGAAAGAACTTGCATCTTGCATGTGATGCTTTCAATAACATTTTGATAACTAAAAGATCATTGACTTTCTGCAAAAACTTAGTTAATAGACAAAATATTTATCTTTTGATCAACCTATAATAGTTGTTTAAGACTAAATAATGATTTCTAAGAAGAAGATAAGATTACATTATTAATAAAACTTAAAAAAAAAATTGTTCATAACTTCAAACATTACAGAAACCTAACTTGTCGAAATTCATGCAAATTTTTTTTTGGGGCAAATCAAAGACCTATTCTCTCTCCTTGCTAAAAGTAATCCTTGGATGTTCTTTAATTTTGAGTTAATTTTTAAACTAAGAACATTTTAAAATGAGATATTGTCACTTATATAGTAAATCTGAGATTCTGTCCTTATATAGTAAATCAGAGATTTTGTTAAAATGTGGCGATTGTGTATGTGACATTTGGAATTTCATAAGATTTTTCTTAAAAATTTATGTATTTGAGATATAGAACATGTATGTGTGTTAAATATTTAGGGTGTTTTTTTATGTAAAAATTTTGGGAGGATTAAATGATGGTATTTGAAAATTTTCAATAAGTTTTGTAAGAAATTTGTTTTATTTTTGTTTTACGAATTCTTTTAATTTTTTGTAAATTTGGGTATATGCAATTTTTGTAAAATTTGGGTATATGCAAGTTTTACTTTTTTTTAGAAATCAAATCTTGTCTTTGTTTAATTATTGGATGATTTGTTAGTTAGTAGAAGGCAAGCATAAGTTGTGGAAGTTCTTCATTTGTTCTGATGTACGGCGGTCAATTATGCATGCTAAGTATGCACCAACATATATTGGGGGCAGTTATCGTCTTATGCAAGTGCCAAGCAACTCAAAGTTAAAGTAGCTTAAGTTGGGTGTTCTCAAAGGACTTAAGTATGAAACGTCATAGTACATTGTGACGTTAGTGTGTCATTTGCCAGTGGGAAATGAGTTTATTGCTTGTAATGTTGAAGATGATGATGTTTGTGATATAGTGCTATTGCATGCTGCTAGCCAAATTCTTATAATTTATAAAGAGGTTGTAGAGCTGCCCAATTCCAATAATCTTTAGTAGAATTTGACATTCCAGTTTAATCATTCATTTTATTCGGAGGATCATGGTATGGATGATTCTTTATTTGCACCCATCGAGGAACCATGTGAAAAGTAAGTTGATCTAAGAATTCTAAATTTGATTGAGTTTAAGTAATTGTTTTTAGTTTTATTTGTGGAGTTAATGATTTTGTCATATTCCTTTATGACCAAATAGTGTTTCAGAGGAAGGAGCAGGACTTTCCAATCGACAACCTTTAAATTTGGATGAAGTCATGAAATAATGAGTGGTGGGTCTAGCGAGCATGAATCAAACAATGATGATGATGAATTGATCCCTGGTATAAATGAAGTAAATGTAGATGTAAATGGTGATATAGGACTGTTGACACCGAAGAAGGTATAGTTGCAAAGAATGAATTTGTGCGTACATGTAGAAAGACCCGTGAATGGGATCAAGAAATAACTTTTGACATTGGGGACTCGGGAAAGCAAATAGAAGAGGAATTC